TTGACCGGAATATCGTCCTTTTGCTCGATAAAATTTGCAAATTACCCATCGAATTCTGTCCCCCGAAATAAAATATGAAAATCCTCATAGCACGTCACGCCTTTATTCAAACATAAGAGTTACACATTTTGGAAGTTCATAAATATATGTAATGTACAAAATATATAAAAATCCAGCCATTATCATCATATTACCGCCTCCACCAGTGCTCGGGGAAGGGCACCAGTAAGGTTATTATAATACAGTTTCTTCGGGCGTGATAATCACTCATAACAAGCTCGACAGACACACAGGTGCAGGGCCAGCATGGTACACACATGCCACAACTCGCATCTTTAAGGAAACCACGCTTTCATGACGATATATCCTGTCTTAATGTAAATATACATATACATAATAGAATATATAAGAATATAAAATATCTTCAGAAAGCAATAACAGATAACGACGAGCATTACAAGATAAATATTATAAGAATATATAAGAGTGGGGGTGTGTGAGTTGCCCCTGTGTTGATAGTGTGTGTTACCTCACTGTAGGGTTAAACGATCACTTCAAGGGAAACAATCGATAATTTAGAGCTTTAACAGGGAGCTACTACCGCCTGGGAAGATGTTGTGTTGTCTAATGGTAGACCCTGCTGCCATATGTGACCAAGTCCCAGGTTGCTGATCTGACTTTCTGCCTCATTTACACATAATTGCAGGGTCTCAATTGTTTCTCTTACTATTGACAACACAACATACATACAGTATATTGTTTCTCACTATTGATCTTTTTTTTCATTTTTGTATTTATGGTTCTTTATTACTATTATTATTATATTTAAAATTATTATTATTATTATTATTATTATTATTATTATTATTATTATTATTATTATTATTATTATTATTATTATTATTATTATTATTATTATTATTATTATTATTATTATTATTATTATTATTGTTTTGTTGTTGTTGTTGTTGTTGTTACATTTTCGCCCCCGAGGCCCCGATGTGGGTCAGTTACCTGTGCCCGGGTGGGCTAATCCCCATAAAAAAATGCTGTGGAAACAAAAGATTTGTACTTGTTTGTACTTGTTATACGAAACTGCACAAAAAAAAAAGCAGTGTAATACTGTGTGTGGCTGCATCTGACCTAACCTGACCTGACCTCACGGCTTCACCTGACCTAACCTGAAGGATGGAGAACATATGAGCACGGGGGTGGAGGAGAATGCAGTGGGAGCGGGTAAACAAAGTGAAAGAATACAGGGAAATAGTGTTAGGAATGATGACAAAACTAAATTAGACAGGGAATTTAAAACTAAACGCGGTAAGGGGAGGACTCAGAACACGACTAACTTAAATGTATACTACGCGAACAGTAGAAGTATGAGAAACAAAATGAATGATATTAGGGCCTTGGTACGTACCGAAAAAATCGATATAATAGCATTCACTGAAACATGGATCAACCTAGACACACGTGAGTTACCGGTCGAATACTAAATTGCGGGTTACAAACTGTTCCATACCGATAGGCAGACCAGGAAAGGAGGCGGAGTAGCAATCTATGTTAGGGATAATCTGAAGTGTGAAATAAATAAGGAAATAAAAACTGAGCGGAATACAGAAACAATTTGGATAGAATTAATCGACGGTCAGGAAAAATTGATCACAGGAGTAATATATAGACCTCCCAATCTTGATAAGAGTCAATGAGCGACTGATCTGGGATGAAATGCGCAGGGCTTCCATACACAACAAAGTCTGTATAGTAGGCGACTTTAACCTTGGCCAAATAGATTGGACTGACCTTACAGGTAGCTCAGAATCAGAGGATTTTCTCGAGACGATCCAGGACTGTTTTCTAAGTCAACATATAACCGAACCCACCCGGGGTAATAATATACTCGATTTAGTTCTGTCAAACAGAGAAAACCTCATTAGCAATGTCGAGGTAGGGAACGAACTTGCAAACAGCAATCACAAAGAAATTAGATTCCAGTTAGATTTTCAGGGCAGACGTAAGGAGAATTCCACTAAAGTACCAGATTTCAGAAGGGCAAACTTTGACAGCTGAGAGAGACAGCTGAGAGAGGGGGTGTCGCGCTTGGCCGTGAATCTGACAGATGACACCGACCTGATAACGAGATCTGAGATTGCCAAGTTCCACGACAATTTAAATAATGAGTTACTTAATGCACAAAGGCGGAACATACCATACAAAAAACTCAGAACAGACAACAATGACCCTAAATGGATAAATAATTATTTAAAGAACATCATTGGCCAAAGGAAGGCTATAGGTAGAAGGATAAATCGTGGCGAAATTTACCTCCGGGATTATTATAGGGTATTGGCGAGTAGGGTTAAAACCGAGATAAGGAAAGCCAAGAGGAATAATGAGGTAAGGATAGCAAGGGAGGCAAAGACAATCCCCAAAGGATTCTACCAAATGTATCAAACTAAAACACGAGAAAAGATTGGACCAAAACGGTCAGAGCTCACTGATAATGACAGAGAAATGTGCAATAATTTGAATAAATATTTTTCAAAAGTTTTCACCACCGAAAATTTAAACATGATACCCGGGGCACCGACTCTATTCAAAGATAGTGAAGAAAACAAATTAAGCGAGATAGTAGTGACTAGTAACGATGTTAGTAAGCAAATAGACAAACTAAAGCCTAATAAGTCACCTGGTCCCGATGAGATATTTGCCAGAGTATTAAAGGAATGTAAGGAAGAGCTTAGTATGCCCTTAGCAAAGTTGCTTAACATGTCCTTGAAAACAGGTGTCGTACCAGAATCCTGGAGGATAGCTAATGTAATACCGATTTTCAAGAAGGGGGATAGATCACTATCCTCTAACTACCACCCAATCAGTCTAACATCAATAGTAGGCAAATTACTGGAAACAATCATTTCAAACTCTATTCGAAATCACCTGGAGAAGCACAAGTTGATCAATGATTCCCAACATGGCTTTGCAAGCGGACGTTCATGTCTAACTAATCTATTAACATTCTTTTCATCAGTTTTCGAATCGGTGGACGAGGGGCACAATTATGATGTGGTATATCTCGACTTTAGCAAAGCCTTCGACAGAGTCCCCCACGAAAGACTAATTAGAAAGGTAGAAGCACATGGCATCGAAGGTAATACCCTTAAATGGATTAGGGCATGGTTACAGGACAGGAAACAGCGAGTGAGCATTAATGGCACTAAGTCCCATTGGAGCAACGTCACAAGTGGAGTTCCCCAAGGCTCAGTACTTGGACCATTATTATTTATTATATACATAAACGACATAGATATCGGCATAGACAGCAACATAGGCAAATTTGCTGATGACACTAAAATAGGACGTGTTATTAAATCAGACGAGGACTCCGCAAAACTACAGGAAGATCTAAACAAATTTTTCGAATGGTCTGAAAAATGTCAGATGAAATTCAACGTGGACAAATGTAAAGTACTCAGTATAGGAGATGTAAACAGGGAAACCAGATACCAGATGAACAACGATGCCATAGAGAAATCCGACTGCGAGAGAGATTTAGGAGTAATGATAAGTAGGAACCTAAAGCCAAGTTAAAATGTGTTTTTGCTCGTAACAAGGCTAATAAAGTACTAGGGTTCATACAAAGGAGTGTTAGTTACAAGACTAGCAAGGTCATCCTAAAACTGTATCTTGCTCTTGTGAGACCACACCTGAATTACGCAGTTCAGTTTTGGTCACCTTATTACAGAATGGATAAAGAATCCTTGGAAATAATTCAGAGGAGAATGACAAGACTAATCCCGGGCATTAGGAACCTTGAGTATAGAGACAGGTTAAAGCATCTTAATTTGCACTCCCTCGAGAGACGTAGAGCGAGGGGCGACCTGATAGAGGTGTATAAGTGGAAGGCAGGGCTAAACAAAGGGGACATTACAAAGGTACTCAAACTATCCAACCAGGAGCGAACTCGTAACAATGGTTTTAAATTAGACAAATTTAGATTTAGGCGTGAAATAGGTAAACACTGGTTTGAAAACAGAGTAGTGGATGAATGGAACAAGTTACCAAATATCATCATTAACTCGAATACGCTGAATAGCTTCAAACATAGGTTGGATGCTTATATGAGCAATAGGGGTTGGGTGTAAACGGGACTGCCCAGTATGGGCCAATAGGCCCGCTGCAGTTTCCTCCATTCTTATGTTCTTATGGAGCACACCTGCATTGCCCCAAGCTACTGTCCTGGCCACGTGGCCACACACCTGCCCAACCGCATCCAGCCCATGCTAGCACGAACTGATTGCTATAATAACAGCCCAGTCCTAACCGTTGTAAAAATTATCAACAAATTATATCATATTTGTATCACTTATGTTACTTGTATATCATTTGTAAATCAAGACCCCCATTCCCCAATTATGTATTTGTATATTTTCAGCCTTCCGGCTGCCATGCTCTTTCAATAAACCGTTAATTATTATTATTATTACACACATCATTTGGTCACCTCGAAGGGGAGTCTCCAGTTTTGCACAACAATATGACACAACAAGCGGTTAAAATCAGTTACATTACGATAAGCCGCATTTAATTTAGGTAGAAAGCCCACCCAAATAATCCTTTTATAGAATGGATATCAATTCACTAGAGTCGGTGCAGCGAAGAATGACGAAAATGATTCCGGGACTTAGAAACCTTCCATATCAGGATAGGTTAAAGAAACTAAACTTGCATTCCCTAGAAAGACGAAGAGTGCGGGGAGATATGATAGAGGTATTCAAGTGGGTGAAAGGAATCAATAAAGGGGATATAGATAAAGTTCTTATAATATCCGAGCAGGATAGGAATCGGAGCAACGGATTCAAGTTGGATAAGTTTAGGTTTATGAGGGAAGGAACTGGTTCACAAATAGGGTGGTGGACGAGTGGAACAAGCTTAGCAACTTTGTAGTAAGTGCTGGAACGCTGGAAAGTTTCAAAAGGAAGCTAGATAGATTCATGGTTGATAGAGTGGTAGTAACTCTCGACAGGAGCTGCCATGCACAGGCCAACCGGCCTATTGCAGACTCCTTATTTTCTTATGTTCTTGTTGTTTTATTGAGCCCGGAACCCAAATGTTCCACCTCTATACTGTACAGTCCTACTCTAGTAGGTATCGTAAAGTGGGAAGTGAACTGTAGTGCTAGGGTCTGTAGTTGTGGTCAGGTATATGTGATCACCTCATTAAGGCGACATAAAGGTATCGGGTGTGTTGACAAGAGGTCCTCTCGTGTTGAACATTAAGGTGTAGTGGTGCTGCCGTTGACCTGGGTGTGTCGTCCCTGACCTCCAGTAGATCTTACAGGCAAGGTCACGACGATGGTACTGGCCGGGGGTCATCTTTCTGCCGACACATTTACACGGATGCGAACGAACTGTGTCTTCAAGTGTGTTTTATACAACACATAACAAGCTGTAAATTACGTGGACTTAAAGGTCTTAGAAATGTGTTGTATATTTCTTGCCATCAAAGTGGGTGTTGCAGTCGTCGGGGTCAGGGAGGCACCAGCGCACCCACTTGTGGACCAGTTCTCGCTTGATGGTTTGGTCCTTGTTGCATCCTGCCGACCACACAGAAAGATGTGTTAACAAACTCACCCATTGAAAGAGGGAAGGGAGAGAGATAACTGTGAAAACCTTTATTTTACTGAGTACTGGAAGAAATAATTGAATACTAAATACCAATCGCCCAGGCTAAGGATAAATTAACACTAAGGTCCAAGATGTTTTACTGATAAGATTACGCCTTTTCGTGTTTGTGTTTTATTAAAGTGGTAAAGTTGCCTAACTGAGTGAACAGTTTTAGCTACACATTTCTTGTCGACTTTAGCAAAGCCTTCGACAGAGTCCCCCACGAAAGACTAATAAGAAAAGTGGAGGCTCGTGGCATTGGAGGAGATATTCTAAAATGGATTAGTGCGTGGTTACAGGACAGGAAACAGCGAGAGAGCATTAACGGCACTAAATCCGATTGGAGTAACGTCACAAGTGGAGTACCCCAAGGCTCAGTACTTGGACCAGTATTATTTATTATATACATAAACGACATAGATATCGGCGTAGACAGCAGCATAAGTAAATTTGCTGATGACACTAAAATAGGACGTGTAATTAAATCTGACGAGGACTCAGCAAAACTACAGGAAGATCTAAAAAAAAAAATTCGGATGGTCTGAAAAATGGCAGATGAAATTCAATAGGGACAAATGTAAAGTACTTAGTCTAGGAGATGTAAACAAAGAAACCAGATATCAGATGAACAACGATGGTATAGAGAAATCCGAATGTGAGAAAGATTTAGGAGTAATGGTAAGTAGGAATCTTAAGCTAAGTAGACAATGTGTATTTGCTCGAAAGTACTTGGGTTCATACAAAGGAGTGTTAGTTACAAAACTAGCGAGGTCATACTGAAACTATATCTTGCTCTTGTGAGACCTCACTTGGATTACGCAGTTAAATTTTGGTTACCGTATTATAGAATGGATAAAGAATCCCTTGAAAGAATTCAGAGGAGAATGACAAGACTAATCCCGGGCATTAGGAACCTTGAGCACAGAGACAGGTTAAAGCATCTTAATTTGCACTCCCTCGAGAGACGTAGAGCGAAGAGCGACCTGATAGAGGTGTATAAATGGAAGTCAGGGCTAAACAAAGGGGACATTACAAAGGTACTCAAACTATCCAACCAGGACCGAACTCATAACAATGGTTTTAAATTAGACAAATTTAGATTTAGGCGCGAAATAGGTAAACATTGGTTTGGAAATAGAGTAGTGGATGAATGGAACAAGTCACCAAACATTATTATTGACTCGAATACGATGGATAGCTTCAAACATAGGTTGGATGGATATATGAGCAATAGGGGTTGGGTGTACAGTAAATGAGAGTGCCCAGTACGTTTGGGCGAATAGGCCCGTTGCAGTTTCCTCCGTTCTTATGTTGTGCAGGTTAAGGCGCCACCAATGTGATTTTATCATTACATGGAAAATACCTGTACTGGTATTTCTTAAAAAGGTTCTACTTGTTATTTGATTATGAAACCGCAGTTATAAACAATGAAACTAAATTATTTATTAATTAATCACTGTACCATGCAGACTAAATTATTAATTATGGTGATGCCGAGAAAAACCACATTATTTATAGATTAGTCAAGGTAATATTCAGAAATCAGACGTAATAAAGAGACGAGAGGTCAGAGGCTCACCGGTCAAGACACTGACAAGGATGCCGATGGTGAGGGCCACCACGAAGCCGAGTGTTCCCAGCAGGGTGTAGGAGATTCCCAGCAGCTTCTTAGGGAAGTCCAGGTCCTCCACTCTGCCAGATGGCAACAGGGAAACAATGAGAGTCTGTGAATGACGCACCTAAAGTTTTAAATTGTTTGTGAGACTTACCTGACAACAGGTGATTATGAGACTCACCTGACGACAGGTGTTTGTGAGACTTACCTGACGACAGGTGTTTGTGAGACTCACCTGACAACAGGTGATTATGAGACTCACCTGACAACAGGTGATTATGAGACTCACCTGACGACAGGTGTTTGTGAGACTTACCTGACGACAGGTGTTTATGAGACTCACCTGACGACAGATGTTTATGAGACACACCTGACGACAGGTGTTTGTGACTCACCTGACGACAGGTGTTTGTGAGACTTACCTGACGACAGGTGTTTGTGAGACTTACCTGACGACAGGTGTTTGTGAGACTCACCTGACAACAGGTGATTATGAGACTCACCTGACGACAGGTGTTTGTGAGACTTACCTGACGACAGGTGTTTGTGAGACTTACCTGACGACAGGTGTTTATGAGACTCACCTGACGACAGATGTTTATGAGACACACCTGACGACAGGTGTTTGTGACTCACCTGACGACAGGTGTTTGTGAGACTTACCTGACGACAGGTGTTTGTGAGACTCACCTGACGACAGATGTTTATGAGACACACCTGACGACAGGTGTTTGTGACTCACCTGACGACAGGTGTTTGTGAGACTTACCTGACGACAGGTGTTTGTGAGACTCACATGACAGATGTTTGTGAGACTCACTTGACAACAGGTGTTTGTGAGACTCACCTGACGACAGGTGTTTGTGAGACTTACCTGACGACAGGTATTTGTGAGACTCACATGACAGGTGCTTGTGAGACTCACCTGACAACAGGTGTTTGTGAGACTCACCTGACAACAGGTGTTTGTGAGACTCACCTGACGACAGGTGTTTATGAGACACACCTGACGACAGGTGTTTGTGACCCACCTGACGATGGGCTTTGGTGTGGTAGTGGTGATGTTGAGGTCGGCAGGGCAGCCTTCAATGGAGGTGGGGAGGTAGTAAGGTGTGATGCCCACGGCCGTCGACCCGATGTGCAACCCCAGAGCCACGGTGGTGCCCAGCAGCATGGCGGTACACGCGCCCTGGAGGAGATGTACTGTACTGTACTGTACGTCAGATGAACGTCCTGCCTACAGTGGCGCTCGTTTATGACAAGAGAATACGTTTCCCTTCACCTGGTAATAACACACATATGTAAGCTGCGTCAGACGCATATTAGACCAGTTTCTGTTGTGACATTTGAACGCAGACTCACCTTGGCATTGGTGAAGGGCATGAAGATTGCCATGACAAAAGCGGCCATGAGGGGACCAGTCACAGACCAGATGACGGCGACGGCTGCCTGCAGGATGCCTCCCGTCTTGCCCGCCATGAAGGCCAGACCCACCGCCAGGAACCCGTACACCAGCGCTGCCGGCAGTCAAGCAGGAGTGTCTTACTTGTTAGCACATTGAGGAACCCATCCTTAACCATTACACTGGCTGTATATATATTGCTTATAGTGTAACATATTGTATGGTACAATGCAACATCTTACCAGCGATAAGTTGAGGGTGGTGTGTGAGGGTGGGACCTACTTAGTAACTTGGTAATGGGGGTGTGGGTGGTGTGTGAGGGTGGGACCTACCTAGTAACTTGGTGATGAGGGTGTGGGTGGTGTGTGAGGGTGGGATCTACCTAGTAACTTGGTGATGGGGGTGTGGGTGGTGTGTGAGGGTGGGACCTACCTAGTAACTTGGTGATGAGGGTGTGGGTGGTGTGTGAGGGTGGGACCTACCTAGTAACTTGGTGATGAGGGTCTGGGTGGAGGGTGAGGGTGGGATCTACCTAGCAACTTGGTGATGGGGGGTGGGTGGTGTGAGGTGGGACCTACCTAGTAACTTGGTGATGAGGGTGTGGGTGGTGTGTGAGGGTGGGACCTACCTAATAACTTGGTGATGGGGGTGTGGGTGGTGTGTGAGGGTGGGACCTACCTAGTAACTTGGTAATGAGGCAGTGGGTGGTGTGTGAGGGTGGGACCTACCTAGTAACTTGGTGATGAGGGTATGGGTGGAGGGTGAGGGTGGAATCTACCTAGTAACTTGCTGATGGGGGTGTGGGTGGTGTGTGAGGGTGGGACCTACCTAGTAATTTGGTAATGAGGTTGTGGGTGGGGTGTGAGGGTGGGACCTACCTAGTAACTTGGTGATGAGGGTCTGGGTGGAGGTGGAGAGGGAGGCACAGCTTGGCATCTTAGACAGCCAGTCTTCCCAGGTGACAGCTGCTTGAGAGTTCACTCCGGACGAGATGGTGCTGACCAGGTGAAAGGCAACTCGTTATTTTCACTATACTATTTATCCGTCTCTTTCTTTACATCAATTTATTTATTTCGCTGTCTACACATCTGTTTGACTGTGAGTCTTTATCTATGAACATTATCCAGTTGTGGCACATTGTATCAATATCCAGCAGGGCCTCAGGCAGGCAGAGAAGAATATACTTATGAAAATGAGGCCATACCTCAGCGCCCCGGAAAATATGCAGGATATGAAGAGTCCTGCCAGGCCAGGGACAGAGCTGAAGCGATCCATGACGTAGTACGGCAGAATCTGGTCCTTAGAGTGGATCAGCCCGGCCTTCAGAGGGTCGCAGTCCTCGTAGGTCGCGAACAACACCAGACCTGCAGTCAAACACCCAGAGAGTGTGAGACTGTGCATTAACTATTACTGGATGGTCTTTGGCCTTACTGGAGCATATATTGGATGGGCGTGGGGCCTACTGCAGCATATATTGGAGAGTCGTGGGCCCTACTGGAGCATATACTAGAGTAACTAAAGGGTCGTGGATCATACTGGAGCATATACTAGAGTAACTAGAGGGTCGTGGGTCCTACTGGAACATATACTACAGTAACTAAAGAGTCGTGGGCCTAACTGGAGCATATACTAGAGTAATTAGAGGGTCGTGGGTCCTTCTGGAACATATACTAGAGTAACTAGAGGGTCGTGGGTCCTACTGGAACATATACTAGAGTAACTAGAGGGTCGTGGGTCCTATTGGAACATATACTAGAGTAACTAGAGAGTCGTGGGCCCTACTTGAGCATATATTGGAGAGTCATGGGCCTTACTGGAGCATAAACTAGAGTAATTAGAGGGTCGTGGGTCCTACTGGAACATATACTAGAGTAACTAGAGGGTCGTGGGTTATACGGGAGCATATACTAGAGTAACTAGAGGGTTCGTGGGTCCTACTGGGACATATACTAGAGTAACTAGAGGGTCGGGTCCTACTGGAACATATAGAAGTAACTAGAGGGTCGTGGGTCATACTAACAGTAACTAGAGGTCGTGGGTCATACTAGAGCATATACTAGAGTAACTAGAGGGTCGTGGGTCATACTGCATATACTAGAGTAACAGAGGGTCACTGGAGCATATACTAGAGTAACTAGAGGGTCGTGGGTCATACTGGAGCATATACTAGAGTAACTAGAGGGTCGTGGGTGATACTGGAGCATATACTAGAGTAACTAGTGGGTCGTGGGTCATACTGGAGCATATACTACAACTAGAGGCGTGGGTCATACTGGAGCATATACTAGAGTAACTAGAGGGTCGGGGTCATACTGGAGCATATACTAGAGCAACTAAAGGTCGTGGTCATGCTGAGCTATACTAGAGTAACAGAGACGTGGGTCTTACTGAGATGATAACTAGAGGGTCTTGGGTCATACTGACATAGAGTAACTAGAGGGTCGTGGGTCATACCGCAGTTATACCAGAATAACTAGAGGGTCGTGGGTCATACTGTAGCATATACTAGAGTAACTGGAGGGTCGTGGGTCATACTGGAGCATATACTAGAGTAACTAGAGGGTCGTGGGTCCTACTGGAGCATATACTACAGTAACTAAAGGGTCGTGGGTCTTCCTGGAGCATATACTAGAGTAACTAGTGGGTCGTGGGTCCTACTGAAGCATATATTAGAGTAACTAAAGGGTCGTTGGTTTTACTGGAGCATTTACTAGAGTAACTAGAGGGTCGTGGGTCCTACTGGAGCATATACTACAGTAACTAAAGGGTCGTGGGTCTTACTGGAGCATATACTAGAGTAACTAGTGGGTCGTGGGTCCTACTGAAGCATATATTAGAGTAACTAAAGGGTCGTTGGTCTTACTGGAGCATATACTAGAGTAACTAGTGGGTCGTGGGTCATACTGGAGCATATACTAGAGTAACTAGTAAGTCTTGGGTCCTACTAGAGCATATACTTGAGTAACTAGACGGTCGTGGGTCATACTGGAGCATATACTAGAGTAACTAGTGGGTCGTGGGTCATACAGGAGCATATACTAGAGTAACTAAAGGGTCGTGGGTCATACTGGAGCATATACTAGGGTAACTAGACGGTCGTGGGTCATACTGGAGCATATACTAGAGTAACTAGAGGGTCGCGGGTCATACTGGAGCATATACTAGAGTAACTAGACGGTCGTGGGTCATACTGGAGCATATACTAGAGTAACTAGTGGGTCGTGGGTCATACTGGAACATATACTAGAGTAACTAGTGGGTCGTGGGTCCTTCAGTATATTCACTGGTTGATAAAAACTTATTATAATAAAATGTTTACAATAACTAACATCCTCTTCAGTCTACGGTCAGCTGAAGGGACGCCATCGGCTGTTGAAACTTATTGGTATAGAACCACTGTAGGTGTATGTAACTAGTCCAGTGTACATCAGTGGATCACATCCTCAGTGCACCATTGAAATCACATTGTACAGAACATTAACCCTGACCTGTGACCTTCATCTTTGACCTCTTACTTACAGCAGTAAATTCTCCTCGGCCTTCAACTAACCCACGAGTCAATATTTTGCTTAAGATTAGTAATTCCTGTTTTAGCTAGTTTGTTGACACTCTCAGGCGAGCATGACACTACAGAGGGTCAAGACAAAAGCCAGTTCTTACCAGTGAGGGTCAACAGGACAGCGACGGCGGCGAAGTATGGGACGAGGAGCAACACTGACCTGAAGAGAGAGTCATAGTAACCATTGTGGTACACCTGACACCTTTGTTACTCTCCCTCCTTGCTTCCTTTACACTCTCGTAAACAATCATGTCCCTATCTGTAAACGCACATGCACACCTGTACGCAAGTGGAAACACACACACACACCCACGCAGTACTCACAGGTAGGCGTGGGTGAGGCTCTTCATGCTGGAGTACCGCTGGATGGCCGTCTGGGAGCTGCCGTAGGTCACAATGCTGCCGAAGAAGCCTGACCACGACAGACCCCACACGGTGTGTCGCTCAAATATGTCCGGACTCCAGCTGACCAATACAACAATTCAGTGTAATACAACACAGTAGATAATAATGGAACAAAAAACAAACAAATAATACATTATGTTACGGTAACATAAAACCATTAAATTTTCTATTGTCTTAGCTGGCCTCTTGTTAATTAAGCTTAATTAATCGGCCTTTTTTATAACAACATACGGATTCTTGAACAATACAAAGAAGGTATATTAGATACACAATTATCGCCGGAACCTTGAAACTTTGTAGCTTATTGTTTGTGTCTGATGAACTTACTTGAAAATCTGTAGTCCTGCACGCTTATGTTTGACGTTGATGTCCCATACCTTCTGCAGGCTGCCCACCTCGTTCACTCCCATGATGACGATGGTCATGAGGCCTCCCAGCACGATCACAAACTGTAGGGCGTCGGTCCACACCACCGCCTTCAGGCCTCCCTGCAGTGTCGACACCTTCACTTAGAATATTTAGTTATAGGCATCGTGAGTGTAAACCCCTATGGTGTTAGCGCCGCCAGGAGCCCCGATAATGAGTGAAGTAGAGACGTTATATAGAGTCCAGATAATACTTAAGTGTCCCATAACCAAATGGAATTTCAAGTACCACTTGAAGTTCAAACTTCACTTAAGATTCCTCATGCACCTGGAATTCAACGAGGAAGACAATTTTTGAATCCAAATTATCAACTGAAATCTTGGCACCAGAAAATAATGTTGAATTTTCCAAGAGTTCTTTCCTGTGAGGGAATGAATGCCTACAACTGTGCTGAAGACGTGACATTAAAGTGAGGTCGTTGTGTCCCACAGATAACTAATATACTGAAGTACTACGTCACACACAGGCTGATAGACTTAAGGAAGTTTGTCCCAGCATAAGAGGTGGAAGTGAGAGCTATGCTGAGCAAGACGATCAAGAATAGTGGGGGGGATCCTACAGAGGCCACTAAGCCTTCCTTCCCCGACGTGGCCATGGAATTCTCTAATTATGTATATATTTGTGTAATCAATACTCACGATGGTAGTGTAGAAGGAGGCGATAGCGCCCACGACAAGGATGGCGAGCCACATGGGGAAGTCGGTGACGGCAGCGAGGGCGAGAGCCGGGGCGTAGATGACGATGGCCTGGTAGAGAAGCGTCTGCGTGATGAAGAGGGCGCTGGCCACACGACGCGTTGTCACAGAGTTGAACCGCATCTCCAGGTACTGTGTGAGCCATGACCGAACAAGTTAGTGTGGCAGTGTTGACAACTGTCTGCCTAGCAGTTGTACTTTATTACTATCTGTAATTTGACAGTCTTAAAACGTGAACTTCTCTCGTTTTAGATTGCCTGGGTGACGTTATTCCGGTAACAGAACATTTGGGGACACTGCCGTAGGGAGGTTTGGGAAGGAAGATGGTGAATGGTATTAATGTTAACTTGCTGCATACAAATATAACTTGTATTTTTTCCTCTCCCTAAGGGTAAGTTAGATCACATACCTGGTAAGCGGAAACAATTTTTAGTTCGTAGTAGAAGGGAACGAAGACGGCGGCGGCAATGGGTATTGCCAGGATGCTAGATTTGGTAAGGACAGGTTGCATACTGTGGTAGAAGGTCTCAGCGGGGAAGCCTGTAACCAAGATATTTGGTGAGTGTGGTGATCCTGGTGACCTATGTTACGTCCTGGATCATCTTCAGTAACCCTCCCATGTCCTGCGTCATCTTCACTAGCCCTCACATGTCCTGGAATATATTCACTAGCCCTCACATGTCCTGGATTATATTCACTAGCCCTCACATGTCCTGGATTATATTCACTAGCCCTCACATGTCCTGGATTATATTCACTAGCCCTCACATGTCCTGGATTATCTTCACTAGCTCTAACATGTCCAACATCACCTTCACTAGTCCTCCCATGTCCTACATTATCTTCATTAACCCTCCCCTGTCCTGCATCATCTTCACTAGCCCTCACATGTCCTCCATCATCTTTACTATCCCTCCCATGTCCTACATTACCTTCAGTAACCCTCCCATGTCCTAAATCATCTTCACTAGCATTCCCATGTCCTACATTATCTTCAGTAACCCTCCTATATCCTGAATCATCTTCATTAGCCCTCCCATGTCCTGGATTATCTTCACTAGCCCACACATGTCCGGGATTACCTTCACTAGCCCTCGCATGTCCAACATCACCTTCACTAGCCCTCCCATATCCTGGATTATCTTCACTAGCCCTCCCATTTCCTGGATTACCTTCACTCGCCCTCCCATGTCCAACATCACCTCTACTAGTCCTCCCATGTCTTACAATCTTCAGTAACCCTCCCATGTCCTGACTCATCTTCACTAGCCCTCCCATGTCCTACATTATCTTCAGTAACCCTCCCATGTCCTGACTCATCTTCACTAGCCCTCCCATGTCCTACATTACCTTCAGTAACCCTCCACCATGTCACGTCATCTTCACTAGCCCTCCCTTAATACTGGATTATATTAACTAGCCCTCATGTCCTGGATTATCTTCTTCAACCTCCATATCATATCACCTTCACTAGTCCTCATGTCCTACATTATCTTAGTAACCTCCTATGTCTACGTTATCTTCAATAGCCTCGCATGTCCTCAATCATCTTCACTAGCCCTCCCATGTCCTACATTACCTTCAGTAACCCTCCCATGTCCTAAATCATCTTCACTAGCCTTCCCATGTCCTATATTATCTTCAGTAACCCTCCCATGTCCTGAATCATCTTCATTAGCCCTCCCATGTCCTACATAACTTCAGTAACCCTCCCATGACCTGCGTCATCTTCACTAGCCCTCCCATGTCCTACTTAACTTCAGTAACCCTCCCATGTCCTGAATCATCTTCACTAGCCCTCCTATGTCCTACATAACTTCAGTAACCCTCCCATGTCCTGAGTCATCTTCACTAGCCCCCCATGTACTACATTACCTTCAGTAATCCTCCCATGTCCTGCGTCATCTTCACTAGCCCTCACATGTCCTGGATTATCTTCACTAGCCCTCCCATATCCTGGATTATCTTCAGTAATCCTTCCATGTCCTACATTTACTTCAGTGACCCTCCCATGTCCTAAATCCTTCACTAGCCTTCCTATGTCCTACCTTACCTTCAGTAACCCTCACCATATCTTACAATATCTTCAGTAACCCTCCCATGTCCTACATTACCTTCAGTAGCCCTCCCATGTCCTACATTATCTACAGTAACCCTCCCATGTCCTACATTATCTACAGTAACCCTCCCATGTCCTACATTAACTTCAGTAACCCTCCCATGTCCTACATTACCTTCAGTAACCCTCCCATGTCCTACATTATCTTCAGTAACCCTCCCATGTCCTACATTAAATTCAATGACCCTCCCATGCCCTACATTACCTTCAATAACCTTCCCATGTCCTACATTAACTTCAATAACCCTCCCGTGTCCTACTTCACCTTCACTAGCCCTCCTATGTCCTACATTACCTTCACTAACCCTCCCTTGTCATACAATACCTTCAGTAACCCTCCCATGTCCTACATTATCTTCAGTAACCCTCCCATGTCCTACATTACCTTCAGTAACCCTCTCATGTCCTTCATTAACTTCAGTAACCCTCCCTTAGACTACATTATCTTCAGTAACCCTCCCATGTCCTACATTACCTTCAGTAACTCTCTCATGTCCTACATTATCTTCAGTAACCCTCCCATGTCCTACATTATCTTCAGTAACCCTCCCATGTCCTACATTAAATTCAATGACCCTCCCATGCCCTACATTACCTTCAGTAACCTTCCCATGTCCTACATTAACTTCAATAACCCTCCCGTGTCCTACTTCACCTTCACTAGCGCCTCCTATGTCCTACATTACCTTCAGTAACCCTCCCATGTCCTACATTATCTTCAATAACCCTCCCATGTCCTACATTATCTTCAGTAACCCTCCCATGTCCTACATTAACTTCAGTCACCCTCCCATGTCCTACATTATCTTCAGTAACCCTCCCATGTCCTACATAAACTTCAGTAACCCTCACATGTCCACCATTAACTTACCAGTAACCCTCCATGTCCTACATTATCTTCAGTAACCCTCCCATGTCCTGCATTTATTTTTCAGCTAACCCTCCCATGTCCTGACTCATCTTCACTAGCCCTCCCATGTCCTACATTATCTTCAGTAACCCTCCCATGTCCTGACTCATCTTCACTAGCCCTCCCATGTCCTACATTACCTTCAGTAACCCTCCCATGTCCTGCGTCATCTTCACTAGCCCTCCCATGTCCTGGATTATATTAACTAGCCCTCACATGTCCTGGATTATCTTCACTAGCCCTCCCATGTCCTACATCACCTTCACTAGCCCTCCCATATCCTGCGTCATCTTCACTAGCCCTCCCATGTCCTGGATTATCTTCACTAGCCCACACATGTCCTGGATTATCTTTACTAGCTCTCCCATGTCCAACATCACCTTCACTAGTCCTCCCATGTCCTACATTATCTTCAGTAACACTCCTATGTCCTACGTTAACTTCAGTAACCCTCCCATGTCCTGAATCATCTTCACTAGCCCTCCCATGACCTACATAACTTCAGTAACCCTTGCATGTCCTCAATCATCTTCACTAGCCCTCCCATGTCCTACATTACCTTCAGTAACCCTCCCATGTCCTAAATCATCTTCACTAGCCTTCCCATGTCCTATATTATCTTCAGTAACCCTCCCATGTCCTGAATCATCTTCATTAGCCCTCCCATGTCCTACATAACTTCAGTAACCCTCCCATGACCTGCGTCATCTTCACTAGCCCTCCCATGTCCTACTTAACTTCAGTAACCCTCCCATGTCCTGAATCATCTTCACTAGCCCTCCTATGTCCTACATAACTTCAGTAACCCTCCCATGTCCTGAATCATCTTCACTAGCCCTCCTATGTCCTACATAACTTCAGTAACCCTCCCATGTCCTGAGTCATCTTCACTAGCCCCCCATGTACTACATTACCTTCAGTAATCCTCCCATGTCCTGCGTCATCTTCACTAGCCCTCACATGTCCTGGATTATCTTCACTAGCCCTCCCATATCCTGGATTATCTTCAGTAATCCTTCCATGTCCTACATTTACTTCAGTGACCCTCCCATGTCCTAAATCCTTCACTAGCCTTCCTATGTCCTACCTTACCTTCAGTAACCCTCACCATATCTTACAATATCTTCAGTAACCCTCCCATGTCCTACATTATCTTCAGTAACCCTCCCATGTCCTACATTATCTACAGTAACCTTCACATGTCCTACATTACCTTCAGTAACCCTTCCATGTCCTACATTACCTTCAGTAACCCTCCCATGTCCTGAATCATCTTCAGTAGCCCTCCCATGTCCTACATTAACTTCAGTAACCCTCCCATGTCCTACATTATCTTCAGTAATCCTTCCATGTCCTACATTTACTTCAGTGACCCTCCCATGTCCTAAATCCTTCACTAGCCTTCCTATGTCCTACCTTACCTTCAGTAACCCTCACCATATCTTACAATATCTTCAGTAACCCTCCCATGTCCTACATTATCTACAGTAACCCTCACATGTCCTACATTACCTTCAGTAACCCTCCCATGTCCTACATTACCTTCAGTAACCCTTCCATGTCCTACATTACCTTCAGTAACCCTCCCATGTCCTACATTACCTTCAGTAACCCTCCCATGTCATACATTATCTTCAGTAACCCTCCCATGTCCTACATTAACTTTAGTAACCCTCCCACATCCTACATTATCTTCAGTAACCCTCCCATGTCCTGCATTATCTTCAGTAACCCTCCCATGTCCTACATTCTTCAGTAACCCTCCATGTCACCATTATCTTCAGTAACCCTCCATGTCCTACATTATCTTCAGTAACCCTCCATGTCCTGCATTATCTTCAGTAACCCTCCATGTCATGTAACCCTCCATGTCACATTATCTTCAGTAACCCTCCCATGTCCTGCATTATCTTTAGTAACCCTCCCATGTCCTACATTAACTTCAGTAACCCTCCCATGTCTACATTATCTTCAGTAACCCTCCCATGTCCTACATTATCTTCAGTAACCCTCCCATGTCCCATTAACTTCAATAACCCTCCATGTCCTCCATTACCTTCAGTAACCTCCATGTCCTACATTATCTTTAGTAACCCTCCATGTCCTACATTATCTTCAGTAACCCTCCATGTCCTACATGTTCCTACCTACATTACCCCTCCCATGTCCTCCATTACCTTCAGTAACCTTCCATGTCCTACATTATCTTCAGTAACCTTCCATGTCCTAAATTATCTTCAGTAACCCTCCCATGTCCTATATTATCTTCAGTAACCTCCCATTACCTTACAGTAACCTTCATGTCCTACATTATCTTCAGTAACCTTCCATGTCCTACATTAACTTCAGTAACCCTCCCATGTCCTACATTAACTTTAGTAACCCTCCCATGTCCTACATTATCTTCAGTAACCCTCCATGTCCTGCATTATCTTCAGTAACCCTCCATGTCCTACATTATCTTCAGTAACCTCCATGTCCTACATTATCTTCAGTAACCCTCCATGTCCTACATTATCTTCCCTCCCTGTCCTAACTTCAGTAACCCTCCCATGTCCTACATTATCTTCAGTAACCCTCCCATGTCCTACATTAACTTCCAGTAACCCTCCCATGTCCACATTACCTTCAGTAACCTCCCATGTCCTACATTATCTTTAGTAACCCTCCCATGTCCTACATTATCTTCAGTAACCCTCCCATGTCCTACATTACCTTCAGTAACCTTCCATGTCCTACATTACCTTCAGTAACCTTCCATGTCCTACATTATCTTCAGTAACCCTCCCATGTCCTGCATTAACTTCAGTAACCCTCCCATGTCCTCCATTACCTTCAGTAACCTCCCATGTCCTACATTATCTTTAGTAACCCTCCCATGTCCTACATTATCTTCAGTAACCCTCCCATGTCCTACATTATATTCAGTAACCCTCCCATGTCCTACATTAACTTCAGTAACCCTCCCATGTCCTCCATTACCTTCAGTAACCTTCCATGTCCTACATTACCGTCAGTAACCCTCACATGTCCTACATGTCCTACATTATCTTCAGTAAACCTCCCATGTCCTACATTATCATCCGTAACCCTTCCATGTCCTTCATTGACTTCAGTGACGCCCCATGTCCTACATTACCTTCATTAACCCTCCCATGTCCTACAATATCTTCAGTAACCCTTCCATGTCCTACATTATCTTCAGTAACCCTCCCATGTCCTACATTATCTTCAGTAACCCTCCCATGTCCTACATTATCTGCAGTAACCCTTCCATGTCCTACACTAACTTCAGTGACCTTCCTATGTCCTACATCACCTTCACTAGCCCTCCTATGTCCTACATTACCCTTAGTAACCCTCCTATGTCCTACATTACCTTCACTAACCCTTCCATGTCCTACATTATCTACAGTAGCCCTCCCATGTCCTACATTACCTTCAGTAACCCTCCCATGTCCTACATTATCTTCAGTAACCCTCCCATGCCCTACATTATCTTCAGTAACCCTCCCATGTCCTACATTATCTTCAGTAACCCTCCCATATCCTACAATAACTTCAGTAACCCTTCCATGTCCTACATTATCTTCAGTAACCCTCCCATGTCCTACGTTATCTTCAGTAATCCTCACATGTCCTACATTATCTTCAGTAACCCTCCCATGTCCTACATCACCTTCACTAGCCCTCCTATGTCCTACATTACCTTCAGTAACTCTTCCATGTCCTGCATCATCTTCAGTAATCCTCCCATGTCCTACATTATCTTCATTAACCCTCCCATGTCTTACGTTATCTCCAGTAACCCTCCCATGTCCTACATCACCTTCACTAGCCCTCCCATGTCCTACATCACCTTCACTAGCCCTCCCATGTCCTACAATATCTTCAGTAACCCTCCCATGTCCTACATTATCTTCAGTAACCCTCCCATGTCCTACATTAGCTTCAGTAACCCTCCCATGTCCTACATTAGCTTCAGTAACCCTCCCATGTCCTACATTATCTTCAGTAACCCTCCCATATCCTACATTAACTTCAGTAACCTCCCCATGTCCCAGACATCTTCAGTAACCCTCCATGTCCCACGTTATCTTCAGCAACCCCATGTCCCATGCCTGTCTTCTGTAATCCTCACATGTCCTACATTACCTTCGGCAACCCTCCCATATCCTACACAACTTCAGTAACCCTTCCATGTCCCACATTATCTTCAGTAACCCTCCCTATGTCCTACGTTATCTTCAACCCTCTTAATGTCCCACATTACCTTCAGTAACCCTCCCATGTCCACAACAACTCTCAGTAACCCTCCCCATGTCCTACATTACCTTCAGTAACCCCCATATCCTACAAGGTCAACTTCAACCCTCCCATATCCTACACAATCTCAGTAACCCATGTCCTACATTATCTTCAGTAACCCTCCCATGTCCTACGTTATCTTCAGTAACCCTTCCATGTCCTACATTATCTTCAGTAACCCTCCCATGTCCTACGTTATCTTCAGTAACCCTTCCATGTCCTACATTACCTTCAGTAACCCTCCCATATCCTACAATAACTTCAGTAACCCTCCCATGTCCTCCATTACCTTCAGTAACCCTCCCATGTCCTACGTTATCTTCAGTAATCCTCACATGTCCTACATTACCTTCAGTAACCCTCCCATATCCTACAATAACTTCAGTAACCCTTCCATGTCCTACATTATCTTCAGTAACCCTCCCATGTCCTACGTTATCTTCAGTAACCCTTCCATGTCCTACTTTATCTTCAGTAACCCTCCCATGTCCTACGTTATCTTCAGTAATCCTCACATGTCCTACATTACCTTCAGTAACCCTCCCATATCCTACAATAACTTCAGTAACCCTTCCATGTCCTACATTATCTTCAGTAATCCTCACATGTCCTACATTATCTTCAGTAACCCTCATGTCCTCCAATACTTCAGTAATCCTCACATGTCTACATTCTTCAGTAACCCTCATGTCCTACAATACTAGTAATCCTCACATGTCCTACATTATCTTCCCTCCATGTCCTACATTATCTTCAGTAACTTCCTCCATGTCCTACGTTTCTTCAGTAACCCTCCATGTCCTACGTTTCTTCAGTAACCCATGTCCTACATCACCTTTACTAGCCCTCCTATGTCCTACATTACCTTCAGTAACCCTCCCATGTCCTACAATATCTTCAGTAACCCTCCATGTCCTACTTTATCTTCAGTAACCCTCCTTGTCTCGTTATTCAGTAACCTCCCATGTCTTTCACGTTGTGTACAAGTAATCCTCACATGTTCTACATTTTCTTCAGTATCCCTCCATGTCCTACATACACTACCCAACCCTCCCTATGCCTACATTACCTTCAAGTAACCCTCCATGTCTAATATCTTCCAGTAACCCTCCATGTCCTACTTTATCTTCATGCCCTCCATGTCTCGTTATCTGTACAACCCTCCCATGTCTACATCACCTTTACTAGCCCTCCCCTATGTCCTACATTTTTGTAGTAACCTCCATGTCCTACAATAACTTCCAGTAACCCTCCATGTCCTACATTATCATCAGTAACCCTTCCATGTCCTACATTACCTTCAGTAACCCTCCATGTCCTACATAATCTTCAGTAACCTCCATGTCTACAATATCTTCAGTAACCCTCCATGTCTACATTATCTTGATAAACCTCCATGTCCTACATTATCATCCGTAACCCTTCCATGTCCTACATTGACTTCAGTGACCCCCCATGTCCTACATTACCTTCATTAACCCTCCCATGTCCTACAATATCTTCAGTAACCCTTCCATGTCCTACATTATCTTCAGTAACCCTCCCATGTCGTACATTATCTTCAGTAACCCTCCCATGTCCTACATTATCTGCAGTAACCCTTCCATGTCCTACACTAACTTCAGTGACCCTCCTATGTCCTACATCACCTTCACTAGCCCTCCTATGTCCTACATTACCCTTAGTAACCCTCTTATGTCCTACATTACCTTCACTAACCCTTCCATGTCCTACATTATCTACAGTAACCCTCCCATGCCCTACATTATATTCAGTAACCCTCCCATGTCCTACATTATCTACAGTAACCCTCACATGTCCTACATTACCTTCAGTAACCCTCCCATGTCCTACATTAACTTCAGTAACCCTCCCATGTCCTACATTACCTTCAGTAACTCTCCCATGTCCTCCATTATCTTCAGTAACCCTCCCATGTCCTACATTACCTTCAGTAACCCTCCCATGTCCTACATTACCTTCAGTAACTCTCCCATGTCCTACATTATCTTCAGTAACCCTCCCATGTCCTACATTACCTTCAGTAACCCTCCCATGTCCTACATTATCTTCAGTAACCCTCCCATGTCCTACATTAAATTCAATGACCCTCCCATGCCCTACATTACCTTCAGTAACCTTCCCATGTCCTACATTAACTTCAATAACCCTCCCGTGTCCTACTTCACCTTCACTAGCCCTCCTATGTCCTACATTACCTTCACTAACCCTCCCTTGTCATACAATACCTTCAGTAACCTTCCCATGTCCTACATTATCTTCAGTAACCCTCCCATGTCCTACATTAACTTCAGTAACCCTCCCATGTCCTACATTACCTTCAGTAACCCTCTCATGTCCTACATTATCTTCAGTAACCCTCCCATGTCCTACATTATCTTCAGTAACCCTCCCATGTCCTACATTATCTTCAGTAACCCTCCCATGTCCTACATTAACTTCAGTAACCCTCCCATGTCCTACACTATCTTCAGTAACCCTCCCATGTCCTACATAAACTTCAGTAACCCTCACATGTCCTATAGTAACTCCCGCGTTAACATCACCCACCTTGAAGAGATACCGCTGAGAGGTAGGTCACCACCAGCGACATGGACATGGGCAGGCAAGTCATGCTTCGGCCGCCCACCAAGAACTCGTCGTTGCCCTTGTTGCGACTCTTGATGGCGAAGTAGACGCCCACCAGGAGGGAGAGCAGCAGCATGAGGCTAAACACCCCGTAGTCCAACCAGGAGAGGGTGCCGCCACCCATGGTGCTCCCTACAAGCGTGGCCTCCTTCATGGTGACTGTGTATTGCTGATCCTCCTCACCTGCCACAAACATACAGCGTAACGTAACCACAACTGATACTGGTAATGACTGACCTAACCTCGGACACGGTGTGGCGCAGAATGCTAGCGGTAATGCTCTTCTCCTCAGACGTCTTACCTGGGAACTAGAGCTGTGGTGGACTGAACCAAACAACATCTGTCATAAACGGGCTTTACAGTGACAAGACTGATCATTATACCTGTTTTGTTATTTTTATTCAAGTCAACATATCAAGACCACTCGAATACGGGATAATTTTGCAGTCCCGACACACCTTTCTGGGACAACGGTACAATCCCGTATACAGTATATGAGGCGCCTGGCAACCCTGAAGGTGACGAAATATGCAAGAAAATGCTTTTGTTGTTATACCGACCAAGAAAATGTTTAGTCTACTGATGATATATGAATTTAAATTCCTAAGCTTACACGGATTTTTTGATTCCTGAAAAAAAAACGTAACGGATTTGAATTTAGACACATTGAAGGACTTTTCATACACATCAGCAGCGGACAGAGAACACAAGAGGCAGTGGGGGGGGGAGGGGGTTGTGTTGAAGGTAAAGCAACAAAAGCCCCGCGAGAATAAACATTGCCAGCCTGTATTCAGCTTGAACTGTAAGATAATCGTGAGGGACAGACAGTACAGGAATCTCATCTATGGAAAAGGTGATTACGACTCGATGACGTTTAAGATGGACATGTTTCTTGATAGAGGAGCTGTGTGTGTGTGTGTGTGTGTGGATGGGTGGGTGGGTGGGTGGAGGCGAACGGTCACGTGTTGTTTTCGTCTGTGTGTGGATGATATCACTCCTGGGGGAAGGTTACTCAGATGTTATTGTGATCGAGTAACATACATAAGTCGTTTTGAAATACGTACACAGACATAAACGTACATATATACACAGATGCAGCTACACACACACACGTACTCAATCTCGATCACACATAGTAAAATGCAAACAAACACATATACACACATGCACTCTCGCTGTGTGTACCATCTACTGTACTGATGCACATGTTGCAGGTTATCGCCTTTCTGGCCGTTCAACTTTCACTAAAGCCCAGATGTTTAGTGTGGAGCCTAACATGTTTATACCTCGTCTTACAACTATGCAGATAAACCCTGATAAATGATGGAAAAATAGCGATAAATCTTGAGAAATGAAGGAAAATAGCGATAAACCTTGAGAAATGAAGGAAAAATAGCGATAAACTTTGAGAAATGAAGGGAAAATAGCAATAAACCTTGAGTAATGAAGTAAAAATAGCGATAAACTTTGAGAAATGAAAGAAAAATAGCGATAAACATAACATAAGAACATAAGAAAGTGGGATACTGCAGGAGGCCGACTGGCCCATACAGGGCAGATCCCTTTCACACCCATCCCAGCAATTCCATGTGCCTATCCAACTTCGTCTTGAAGCTCTCTAGCGTCCCCGATCCTACTATAGCAATAAACCTTCATAAATGAAGGAAAAATGGCGATAAACCTTGAGATATGAACAAATATCGTTAAACCTTGAGAAATGAACTAACAATTGCGTTACACCTTGAGAAATGAAGGAAAAATAGCGATAAACCTTGAGAAATAAAGGAAAAATAGCGATAAACCTTGAGAAATAAAGGAAAAATAGCGATAAACCTTGAGAAATGAAGGAAAAATAGCAATAAACCTTGAGATATGAAGTAAAAATAGCTATACTAGTATACTGGTTTTGCTGATGTTACTAGTTGTGTTGTTGTTGTTGTGGTTATATATATTGTACTTGTTTTTGTTACCTGGCGTATAATATGTGGAATAAACACGACACAAATATTTCTGTTATTGTGGTTAATGAAAAACTGTGTTTTGGTTTTGGGACAAAGTTTAGGATACTTGTCGTGGCTGAGAGATGGTTCTCTATACGTGCGGCTTAAAGTGAGTTACTCATCAAGTCTGTCGTTCGTGATTGTTCTTAGTCAGGTGATGGTGTCGGAATTCAGAGAGGATATAGTATTGTGGTGGCTTTAGTACAGGGCTTTTTTTTGGGGAGGATCGGTGGTGTTCCCCTGAGAGTGGGAGAGGAGGATGGGAAGAGAGGAGAGATAAGCAACTCAAGAAAAGTAGCAGTACAGGTAAGAGAGGGAGAGAATGAGAAGACGGGTGAGAGAGGAGAGAATGAGAAGATGCAGAGAGAGAGAGGAGAGAGAATGAGAAGACAGGTGAAAGAGAGGGGAGAGAGAATGAGAAGACGGGTGAGAGAGAGGGAAAGAGAATGAGAAGACAGGTGAGAGAGAGGGAGAGAGAATGAGAAGACGGGGAGAGAGAGGAAAGAGAATGAGAAGACGGGTGAGAGAGAGGGAGAGAGAATGAGAAGACGGGTGAGAGAATGAGAAGACAGGTGAGAGAGAGGGAGAGAGAATGAGAAGACGGGTGAGAGATTGAGAAGACAGGTGAAAGAGAGGAAGAGAGAATGAGAAGACGGGTGAGAGAGAGGGAGAGAGAATGAGAAGACGGGTGAAAGAGAGGGAGAGAGAATGAGAAGACAGGTGAGAATGAAGACAGGTGAAAGAGAGAGAATGAAGACGAATTGAGAGGACCAAAGACAGGTGAAAGAAGAGGAGACAGAATGAAGACGAATTGAGAGAGAGGGAGAGAGAATGTGAAGACAGATTGAAAGAGAGGGTGAGAATGAAGACTGGTGAGGAGAATGAAAAGACAGGTGAGAGAGGAGAGAATGAGAATTGAGAGAGGAGAGAGAGAATTAGAAGACAGGTGAGAGAATGAGAAGACAGAATTGAGAGAGAGGGAGAGAAAATAAGAGGCTGAGTGGGAGAGAATGAAGACGAATTGAGAGGAGAGAGAATGAGAGGAACAGGTGAGAGAGAGGGAGAGAGAGAGATAGAGAAGACGCTGAAAGGAGGAGAATAGAGACAGGTGAGAGAGAGAATGAGAAGACAGGTGAGAGAGAGGGAGAGAAAATAAGAAGACAGGTGGGAGAGAGAATGAAGACAGATTGAGAGAGAGAATGAGAGACGGGTGAGAGAGGAGAGGAGTAAAGACAGGTGAGAATGAAGACAGATTGAGGGAGAGAGAATGAAGACTGGTGAAAGAGAGAGAATGAGAAGACAGGTGCGAGAATGAAGACTGGAGTGTGAGAGAGAGGAAGAGAAAATGAAGACAGATTGAGAGAGAGGAGAGAGAATGAGTAGACAGGTGAAGAGAGGAGAGAATGAGGGAGACGGGTGAAAGAGGGGGAGAGAATGAGAGAGAAGACAGGTGAGAGAGGGAGAAGAATATGAGAAGACTGGGTGAAAAGAGTCTAAGGAGAAAGGAGATACGCAAATATAGCTGCATAAAGTACAGTTCTGGGTAAATCTTTGGCTTGTGTAAGATATACAATGTTCATAAGTCTCATCTGGGGGAGGGAAATTATCAGATGCTCTTGTGGCATCTCTCAGAATTGGTGGAAAAACGGAACTATGGAAATTAACATACATTTAATTTAAGTTTTCGTCCAAGATAGAGGTATAATTTAATTCGCACACAATTTATAAAAAGCAACTTGCGATTTATATAATCAAGTCATATAATTATATGACCCACAGGCGAATCTTCAAGGTCGTTGTCGCATGCTCGGTGCGACAGCTAATCTTCATGCAGCACACACACCACCTCACCACCTCACCGAGCACCACACGACATAATCACCCAAGAAACCCCGGAACATTTGGGTAGATAGAATTTGTTGCTTGTTGGATGTACGGTATATTTCCTGCTGTGATATGATTACTTCACTGTTATGTCCCTCATTGATACATCCTCATTAAGGCATCAAGCTCCTGTACTTTTGTTGTTTCAGAGGACTGTAAGTAACTGCCTCGACTCTGACTGCGGTGTGTACTGAAAAGCATTCCTGCTTATGGACTTGAAGCTCAGAGGCTCCATCAGGCCAGGCCCATTAGACAACCGGATTGTTTTTTAGATACATTAATAACAACATCTAGATGAGGCGGAGCTTTTATGCCACTGTTGTGACACGGGAATCACTGTTGCCTGTATAATGTGCTGAAATATGTACTATTACTGTATTTCTGGAAAAAAGTTGACGAAGTGCGGTGCGAACAGGAGAATAGGCGTCACCTATGTGGTCAGGGGTGCGGAGGCAGACTGACTGCACGCCCGCACCTTCACCAATGAATCAAATCCCGGTTCTCCAGTGCAATGCACATTCTCCTCTTCCACCAGATACTCAGCTCTACTTTTCTTCCTCACACTCTAAGAAAACTTTTCATTTAACCTTCTACTTTTCATTAATAAATGTTTGTCGCTGGTCAGAGACAATGATTTGAAGATGTTAAGCCCTGTTTCATGTGCAGTAAAAAAGCACTTGTTACGTAATAATGCATTTAATTGGGTTAGTAGATACTGTAATTAACTATCTTTTCATGAATTTACAGTAAACTAACTCAGGAAACGACATTCAAGGTAACAGGCGACGTTGATTATCATTATCTTGTACAGCCCTAACATGACTCACATTATATTATTTGACTAAGGCATAAATGATCGGTTCGACCTACGTTTGCTCACTGATGGTGGCTAATACACAACGAGGAAGTATCAGTCAAGCAAAGCCGTATTATCAAACCGAGTAGAGAATACGCAGTGCTGAACTGCGCGGTATCTTCCACTAGCAGGATGGTGTAAAATATTGGAACATCACCATCACTTAAGTAGAGTATTAGCAGCTACCAAGCAGGAGGTACTACCGCCTGAGAAGATATTGGGAAGCGCATAATGTATTGCCTAATGGTAGGCCCTGCTGTCATATTGCATCACAAAAATTA